AAAAAATAAACATTTATCAGAGTATAAATAAAAACAACGGTGTCCAAGATTGCATCATTAATAAAATACTACAGAAAGGATTTGAGTTGTTGTGTGTTTCACTTGCTATGGCCATAGGGCCATCACTGGAACAGGAAATCTGACTTTTGTGAAAACAATGTTATATTCCAATTAGGAGAATATTACATTATCAGAAGCTTTCTTCTTAAGTTTAGGAGATGTACGTTTCAAAATATTACCAAAATTGTCACCCATTGTGGGGCCTGTTACTTGTATCAGTGGACAAATGTATGTGGCTAGCTTCACTGTATTTAAATTCATGCAAACAATTTGCCTGCAGAACAGGATATGTGAAGGATTTTCAATATATGACAAACTCTGAAGTCTAGGTGGTACATATCAAATCATAAAAATTATTGAGACACATACATACATGAAGTGTACCCCGGCAATATTAAAGGAAAAACAAAAACAAAAAAAATTTAAGTGTTTACGACAAAGTGATGGACAGCTGGACAGCCGAACAGATCGACAGTGCGATCAAATTAGAAATTTCACAATTTATGAGAAGGGGGGTATAGATATCGGAAAACTATTTGATAGATTTCAAAAATCTATTGACATATTTCACATACCGTTATGTGTCAGTGAATTTTTCTTTATGTGTTCAAATATATCATATAGTTTCTTGATTTCCGGAATCGGCAAGTATTTCTTTATTACATATTCAACAGTGAAATGCTTCGCACTCGTGAAAATAAAACGAAAAAAAACTTGTTCTACTCGTGAAATGAATTCCATATTCAACTTCAAAACATTGAATATTCTTTATTTTCTTTTAACTGTTTTAGAATTAAGTCGAAACTGTTATCTATTGATACTTATAGATATGACATCGGAAGTTTTTAATGCAATGTATTTTACACGGATATTGTGTGAATTTACGACATTTATAAAATCATTTTGTTTTTACGAGGGTTGTTCGAAAAGTTCGTGGACAACTGTCATATCTTTTTTATTTGACGTCATATGTTATTCAAATTTGGTAGAAATATTTTAACAGTTAATCCAAATGATTTGTATTAAAATTTTCCAAAATATTACGATTGATTCAAAACTTATCTAGATTTTAAATATGCAAAAATCGGATCGCGGTGCAGGTCAAAATTTAGTAAGTTACAGACAATACACTATATAATGTCTGTAGTCATATCCTCTGTAAAATTGAGCAAAAACGAAAAACAGCCTAGAAATTGAAATTAAGAATTGTTACATCGATTCGTTTAGCCAATTATGGCTTTATATTTTGCTTTGTTGAAAAGAAATCAATTTGAGAAGATAGATGGTCCTTATTGAAAAAAGACAAAAACGATGACGTTTTAAAAGGTCACGGAACAGCAGATAACAGTACAGTTTTGTGTTTTACTCAGGAAAAAACCTGAAAAAATATAAAAATGTTGGAGGAATCAAGAAACTATGTCAAAAGCGAGTTGTGCATGTGTGTACAAATAGAACATGCAGTATCTGAGTGATAGAGACTCAGTATCGGATCAGGACAATCTGTGAAGCTACGGTTTAACTGAAAAATCTGAACAAAACTTTAAAAAGTCAGAACGTCAAGGAAAGACATTTCACTCCAGAGTTGCGTATCCTGTAAAAGCAGAGTTAAGTAATAAAAGAAATTAAAACCTTAACAAAGGAAATTATACAACAATGGCAATTCTTAAGAAATAAATGCCAAGTATTATAAAAAGGATTAAATGATTTGGCATTGGGTTATACTGTGTAAAATGTGTAGGGATAGTATTTTTTAGAAACTCTTGACGCTATGTTTTGACGTTACATTGTCGTTAAGTGTGCTCCGCGGGTACAAAACATGTTGATTTTAAAATGAAGTAAATTGATTTCTGTTCAATCGAATGGAATGAAACTTCCCACATCAACAAAACAAATATTTTTACAGAATATATTGTGCTTATTTTAAATTTCTAGTGAGGAATACTGTAAATCACTTTTTATTCGCGAGAACTTTATTTTCGCGTAATTACGCGAGACAGTGTGCTCGCGAAAATTTAATTCTCGCATATAATAGTATTCTTTAGATCATATAGAGCAATAACCACAATTCGCTAACAGTTTGTCTCGCTAATCAAGAGTCAATGACTATCTCGCGAAATTAAGGTGTCGCGAAAATATAGTGATCTACAGTGTTACGAAGATCGACATCGTCCACAAACTTTTTGAACAACCCTCGTACATAATCAGTAATACGATCTCGCTCGGAGTGATTTTGATTAGCCTACGTACAGTGTATATCTGTACAGTTAATTTCACATTAAGCATTGATGAATGTTCAGACTGAATAAGACTTTACCGATATTACCGACATTTTTTCCCTACAAACACTCGGAAGTGGAGACATTGGCGTCGGAAGCAAATTGATAGCAAGGGTTATGTGCAAGAGAGAAAGATTGGACCTACAAAAAAATATGAAAGAAAGAAAAAAAGGAAAATAATGTATCCATTGTCAAAAATTCGAAAATCCTATTTTGTAGATTGGAAGGGGGTTGGTTCAAACTTCTTTCAGCATTAATTATTTTCCAAACACTACCACTTCTCCTTTTTTGAACAAATCTGCCACGTGCAGTTAAAACATTAGTTGAAACACAGTCAGTACGTGGTGGTTTAAGATTGCAGTTTTTGTTGCAAAACAATGACGTCGCTTTTTCTATTGTTACGTAAAATTTTGTCAGATTGCATAAGGGGGTTTTTGCTTGAAACGGCTCATTTGAGGGCTGTTCATGGACTTCTGTCATATCTTTTTATTTGACGGCGAATTGTTAAATTCTTAGAAATGGAACTTGACTTTCTCTGCCTTCCAGTAATTGCCGAATAATAAAGATTTGTTTTTACATTTTGCATCTTTGCATTTTGCTTAATTTCGACGCAAAAAAAAGATCAAATCATATAATAATCCAAAATTCTATTACATTTTTAGTTAATATATTTCACATTTATTATGATAAAACAACTCCGACCGTTTACGTTATGGGGTGGGTGAATACTACCGAACTTATACACTTTTACATAATGTAAGAGTGATTTAAAAAAAATAAATTTGCCCTGGACAAAACCGAGGCTCAGTGTTCTTGGTGTTAGAAAATATCAAAAATGGGATACGGTGGAGTATAAGCCTAGAGCGGGAAGAAAGCGAATAATATACGTTCAAAAGATCATTTTTGATGAAAATAATAAGTTAAACACATCGTGTCAAACCTTTGATGGAATTTACTGATTTTTTTTTTTTTTTTACAATTTCGGGGAGAATTATTTTAGTTTGATAAGATGCCTGGTTTGAAATAAATACCACAGAATCGGATGTGTTTAAAGAAAAAAAAAACATAAGAATCAGAGGAGGTAAAAGTTTTTAAAAAAATAGAATGGGCCAAGAGGAAAGGGCATTGTAAAGTTGATGGTGAGTGTAATTGTGTTTTTGCTTTTGTTAATAACTGAAGAAGTGATAAATGGAGTAAATAATTTAAACTTGTATATGTCGCAATACACTAGTCACGGTCGTGGCCAAGGGGTTATTCTAATTAATTTGGGATGTATCTACTAGAGAGTCGATGACAGTATTAAAAAATCATTGAAAATGAACTATAGTCAGCTGTTGCATTTCCAACAGTATGACTTTATTTTTAAAAACCATAACTGGACAGTGTATCGTGCAAGAATTGTTCTAAATTCCAATTATGAACATCATATTCAAAATCTCCAAGTGTTATCATTATTACAATTGTTGGTTGTTGTTGACAAAATAGATGAGAAAATCTGCGAACAACGTCGCATACCTCGAAAAAGAAATTGAAAGAAAATGGACCACCATTCCCATTTATTATATACAGAACCTTCACAGATCACTTCTACAACGAATGATCAAGAAAAATTACACGTACATCAAATGGGAATGACACAAGTGATATAAGTGAGATTCATTTCTACTTCTCGATTAATTATCCTGAGATTTTTGTTATTACACTGGATTCATTTGGTAATTAAGCCATTTTGTTCATAATATTATGATTAGCTACTGTATAACATTTTTAAATCATTAATCAAAAGGAAAAGCAAGTTTGAATTTAATGATTATGTAAAACACAGCACAGCAATATATCCCAAAACATGTATTTCTAGATCGATTTGAAATATATGATAAATATTTTTAAAATGCATGTTAATTACATATATAGATAAGGATATGGAAAAAGTATACAATGTATTTATTAAACAATTGCCCTTAACAGACTTTTCAATAAAAATTATTTTGAAATTCTTTTTGCTAAAAATAAATATTTTGCAAAATGCTTTACAGTATAAGATGTATATGGTGATCAATACTTAATGTTTTCACAGTTGTAAACATTTTTAATTATTACATATGTGTTGATCAAAATTTAATGATTTTACAGTTGTAAATTTTGTTATGTTCATTTTGTATGTGAATCAGAATTTAATGTTTTTACAGTTGTAAACTTTATTTTAAAGCTTCTGTTCAAAAAAATATTTATTCAAAATATATTCATAAAGTGATACATTAGAGTTACTTGCTAGTAGAAATATGATTTATATAGAGCATGACCATACCAATTTAGACAACACTACTGCATCACAAAAACGTAATGACTTAAATGCAATTCTCTGTAATGAGCTGATCACTACAGTGTAACATATACACTCATAGAAGTAAATGAAACCAATAGGACACAGCCATATAAATATTTTAAAACTGTATCAGATTAAGGGATCTAAAGCCACAAACATAAACCGGGTTAAGATAATTTGATTTCTGTGTGTAACGGTTACCATGCCAATATATCTTAACAAAATTGAAAGCAACAAAAGAAAACCAATTCTAAATATGGGAGGATACTTATCGCGTTCATATAAAAAATAGAATAAAGTAATACGTTAAAGACAATATTTTCAAATTAAGAAAGGTATATGGTAAGGATATACTTTATTAACTTTTAATTGTGTGTCTTTTTGCATTTTGTCCCTCGGGAAATAACGTGCAATGTACAGAAGCACATTCCTTTTTTTCCAAAATAGGATAAAATTTTTAAAGGTCTGAAAAAACGTTCTAATTGTCACTTGAAATTAAAGTTGACGTTCTCTCGAACAAACACATAAGTATTTTACATGTATCGATTTTGTGTTTGTATTTACCACGAAAATGTTTTGGACAAGTTATTTCATTCGAATTTCCAATTTCACGTTTAATTTCTGTCTCCTTCAAAAAGAATTCTTCATCTTCATCTGTAATTTTTATGTCGCCGCATGAAAAACCCATATCATAGATAATTCCCCTGTGAAAGGTTTCTGTTATTTCCTTTATAAATTCTTCCACTGTTTGCCTGATTTTCTTGACGCATTCTTCATCCAGATTTACGGTTTCATCACGCGTAAAAATTTGTACCTGGATGGATGTTTTGCTGACGGCGATGACAAAATAATGGCCAGCATCTTCTGCCTTGTAAAATGCAGCATTTTTATAAAAAGAATTTTCATCGCAAACTTTCCATTTCTTTAAACACTTTACCACCAATCGAAAGAAGAAAAAATGGGGTAAATAAGTCTTGAAAAAGTACAACATCATTGCTGATTTTTGTTGTTCTCTGATTTCATCTTTACTGTCATCAGAAAGGTCGGTTCGGTTCATGCTCGGAATGTAATACATCTCCTCCTCATTGTGAGCGCCTACATGTCCTTCAATTCTTGTCATCAGGCCAAGTTTGTCCATATATTGCAGAATTTCATCTTTGTGATTTAAGTAAGATTGCCACAAAGAATTATGATGTCTATCAGTCTCAATACTTACTTTCGTATCAGCACAAGGTACATCAGGATTGACATGTATATTTTTCCATATCTCTTTAATGTATTGTCCAGTAATTTTCCCGGTATTAACTAGTGGGTTTATGTTGTCTTTCCGAGCAAAATGCTTTTCGTCAGTTATGATGTACTTGAATGCATCAACAAACCACTGAACGTCTATGATAATTGTGTCCTTAAGTTTATTTACAGAAAAGTATAAGATTTTTCCTATTTCATGTAAAAAACGAAGAACATCATTGAGGTCATCTTCATCTATTGCATGGTATTTTGCTGTTTTTCTGAATTGTGACTTCAATATGACTTTTTTCCCATTAGCTTTTTCATTATTCAGAATTTTTTCAAGTTCAAACCATTTCAAAGGAACTTTTTCCCCCCAATGTTGTAGATTTTGTACAGTTTCTACGATACATTTCTTAACACAGTCAATTGTCATTTGTTGTCTTTGAGTCAATGCTCCAGGTGGGCATTCTACTTCAAAATATCGATATGGTGATATAAGCCGTTTTAGTGTTTGTTCTTTAGATAAACACCTTTCCAACTGGCTGTAAAATGTTTCGGATGGGTTACAAGTTCTGACCTGCTTAATAATAAGGAAATTAATAAATGTATTAAAAAACCAACGAAGGTAATTTAATAATGTTACATTTCGAGATTATATTTTAATATGATTAAACATGAATTACATAGCTTCTATAATTATCGAATATCAAAAATTAGTTTTCCCTATTATTTCCCTTTGTTCATTTTACAACTTTGGTCACATATTATGATAATCAGGCTTACAAAAACAATTAAAATCAGTACATTATTTGATTCATTTATGAATACAACAAAATAAAAGAAAGACTATGAATATCATGTCTGAAAGCTGTATTTGTATAGCTTTTCGTTATCTCCATATACTTCTTTATAAGTAAACACTGTAAATGAGTCATATGCTTAGAGTACTTTAATAACAAGAAGCCCATGGGCCTTATAGGTCACCTGAGCATCATGCAACAAATTTACAACGACTGACTTTGGTTCATGTTTTAAACTAGATGTCATGGCTTTCACAATTTTGAGAGACACCATTGCTTATCATAACAATACACTAAGCATGTTTAGTTTGGTTACTTATACCCATAGACAGAATAGGGGAAGGAAAAATGTATTTCGACTAATAAGTAATATTCAGCAATAATCAGTATAGTGCTACCACCACACTGACTCTTGGTCCACACATTTCACAATTTTGGAAAAGGCACCCTTGCTTATCAACATGGGGCCCACGGGCCTTATAGGTCACCTGAGTATCGTGTAACAACTTTCCAACAATTGAATTTGGTTCATGTTTAAACCAGAGGCCATGAAATTCACAATTTTGAAAGTGGCATTATTGCTTATTATAATTATAAAATAAGCATGCTTAATCTATTTACTTCATACCCAGACGTAGATCAGAGTAACAGAGAAAATGCACTTCCACTTTATAACCAGTTGTGCACCCCATCCCAAAGGTACCGTAGACCCTGGGGCCACATATTTCAAAATTTTGGAAATTTTATCAGAAAATGGTTGATTAATATCAAAGAGCAGATGTCAAAGCATTAATTTATTTTCAGACTATGTAACTACCCCCCCCCCCCCCACCTGATACCTCTCACTCTGGCGGGCACGAAATTAACCACTTGTTTTAGATGCACCTTTTTTCATCATAAATATATATACATGGATCATTAGCATAATACCTAGGAGCAAAGGATAAGATTTTTAAAGAATTAATGTATTTCCAATGCATTATCAAAAGAGCCACCCCTTTTCACCAAATGGCAAACCCCCTGACACAGGGGCCATGAAATTCACAAATGTGGTTGAGGGACTCTTGCTTATCATAACTTTGTACTTATTTAGTTTATTTAATACCCAGGAACATAGAAGAAGATTTTCAAAGTTTTAATGTATTTTCACTACATATCAATTGAGCCACGCCCTAACACCAGAACCCCTGACCCTGTGGCCATAAAATTCACAATGTTGGAAGAGGCACTCATGCTCAGATTGCACTAATTTTATTAGTTTTAGTCCCACCCCTCAGGGTCAAAGGGGGGCAGGGAACCTAACATAATTCTTTATTTAAAAACAAGAGGCCCATGGGCCACATCGCTCACCTGAGTAACTTGGGTGATGCAGATCTTTTTAAAAGATTTGTTCTATATATATTTCTATGTAAAACTTGGATTCCCCATTGTGGCCCCGCCCTATGCCCGAGGGTCATTATTTTGACAATTTTATATGTACACTACCAAAGGATGCTCCCACATAAGTTTCAGCTTTCCTGGCCCAGTGGTTCTTGAGAATGAGATTTTCAAAGATTTGTTTATATATTTCTATGTAAAACTTGGATTCCCTATTGTGGCCCCGCCCTAACCTCGGGGGTCATGATTTTTATAATTTAATATTTACACTACCCAAGGATGCTTCAACATAAGTTTCAGCTTTCCTGGCCCAGTGGTTCTTGAGAAGAATATTTTTTAAAGATTTGTTCTATATATTTCTATGTAAAACTTGGATTCCCTATTGTGGCCCCGCCCTACCCCCGGGGGTCATGATTTTAACAATTTAATATATACACTACCAAAGGATGCTTCCACTTAAGTTTCAGCTTTCCTGGCCTAGTGGTTATTGAGAAGAAGATTTTTTTAAATGATTTGTTCTATATATTTCTATATAAAATTTGGATTCCCTATTGTGGCCCAGCCCTACCCCCGGGGGTCATGATTTTAACAATTTAATATCTACACTACCCAAGGATGCTTCCACATAAGTTTCAACTTTCCTGGCCCAGTGGTTCTTGAGAAGAAGATTTTTAAAGATTTATTCTATAAATTTCTAGGTAAAACTTGGATTCCCTATTGTGGCCCCGCCCTACCCCCAGGGGTCATGATTTTAACAATTTAATATCTACACTACCCAAGGATGCTTCCATATAAGTTTCAGCTTTTGAGGCCCAGTCGTTCTCGAGAAGAAGATTTTTAAAGATTTGTTCTATATATTTCTATGTAAAAGTTGGATTCCCTATTGTGGCCCCGCCCTACCCCCGGGGGTCATGATTTTAACAATTTAATATCTCAGGTGAGCTAAAAAAGTGACTGAAACTTTTCCATCATCAGGTTTGAATTTCTTTCTTTGTAGAAATAAACATTTATCAGCTGCATTTGAGGTTTCCATCATCAAGTTGGTTCAAAAGAAAATAACGCTACACGCATGGACATTTATTAAAAGTAACACGAAGTGCAAATTGTTCTTACCAGCTTGTCTTTATGGGAGGCAATAAGAATAATCGGCTGTAAATTTGCATTCGCCGTGGAGTCTTTGATTTCTGTTGTGTCTTTCGGATCACTTTGTGTCATTCCATCATTGCAGTATGTATTTATAGTTTGCAACCAAAAATGGAAGTATTCTAGAGATAAAGATAGGAAATATTAAAACAAACTTGCAATGAATTTAATATGAATTATTTATTTTAAAGAATCAAATTTATAAAGTTACTTTCTCTTACTGGCTTGAAATGAAGAAGACAAGCAATCACCAGATTTTTTTTATATTTCCTTGTTACCCCCTGCATTCACGTGATCACGTTGAAAAGGATAATCACAGGAATATGTTATTTTGAAATGAATAAAATAAGATTTAATGTTAGAGATAAACTAAGTGTTGATAATTACATAAGAGGAATAATACTCGTTTGAATATAATCAATTTTCATTATGCTTTTAAAATTGATGATCAATCTAAAAATGTGGTCAATTGGGAAAAGGTATAGTGTTTTGCAATAAACATGTATTTCTTTTCTTTATTTATCAAGATATTTTCATTAAAAATCAAAAATCAATTAGAATTGATTAGTCTGTACATATATTTATATCAAAATATAATTTATTAATTATCATTATGAATATTTAGGATCTTTCAAAAATATAATAACAAAACCGATTTACTGCAGATTATGTGAATAGAACTATTTTCATCTTATTTCGTACTTAAGGTAGTCCGATCCTCAGGTTTATTAATTTAGCAGTTAAGTAATCAAAAATACTTATAAAAGTAGTTCTGAATCCACAAAGTTATGTAAATTTGTCCACAGTATCTCTTGTAAGTAAAGGATTTAAGTTAATCATATTTTATAGGGAAATATAGGGAAAATTGCAAAATCTCCAATATTTTATGCAGAAAAAGCGAATAGGAGTATCAGCCATGCCTTTTCTAATAGCAAATTGATCAATAAATATATTTTAGGATAAAAAAACAATAAGTATCCAGGCATTCAGAAAAATTGTCATGATTGTTATACTTATTTGGTATTTTTTGTCTTCTATTTCCGTCAAATATTCTATAATACATAGTGTAAAAGGCTTTTGCTATCATTGCAAGACACCACAACATCACTTCTTATTTCATTTCATGTTAATAAGCACTGGTATCTAAGGCTGGATTCAAGAAAATCTTATTTCTCTAAAACTATATTAATTTTCTTCTTTTTATAGGGAACAAATGTCAACTTTTATAAGACCTTTTAATAGACTTCCAGAAACCTTGAATCTTATAAAGATGAATGAAATGAAAATTGTTGCATGAAAAAAATCAATTTCAACCTTTATTTTGATTTCAAATTAAATATCAATTTTTGGAGTTATACTTCCTGGCTGAGGATCGGATATCCTTAGTAAGTGATGCAATTAGTAAATAGTGCTATATTGCTTAATCAATAATTTTATTAGGGATGTCAAAATTGTCAATAATCGATATTCGAATATTCGATATGAGTATTCGAATAAGTACATCTTGCATTATAAAATACATATTTTCAATCTCCTGTAGTATAGGATTTATGCCATTATCTTGGAATAAAAACTAATGTAGAGTTCGGTAAATGCATTGCAATTATATATTTTTGAAAAAATTATTGAATAGTATACATCCAAAATGTAGAGGAGAGGACGTTCTAAGTATTAAGTACTTGTGTCCAATCCTTTTGTTGTAACATCCTAACAATAAAATATGTTCAAACCATCCAAAATGTATAATGATTGTTTTTTGAAAATTCAAAAGATTCTTTAGTATATTCCAGATTAATTGATCGTCTTACTTAAGTCTACACTGATATTGACAATTCCTACAAATTTAAACCAATCAGAACAATTATCTTGCAGTGAAATATTACAAGCAAATACTTTTTGCTAACTATAAATTCCTGATAATGATTTTAATGATATTTATTAAAACAATGGGTCTGTGTGTTTACTGTTAAACTGTGTCTTTACAACAATACAAGCTGACTGTAAGTACTGGAATCTATTATACCACTAATTAAGTGAACAAATAAATAAATTATTCTAAGAGATACACTCTTCACACCTTTAAGGTAATTCTAGAGGAGTTTTTTTTTAAAAAGATTTTGTACAAACTTGATATTTTCTTAGAAAACTTGACAGGTTTTTCTCTCTTTTTAAAGCTTGTATACTTAAAAACGAGTATTTGAATTATAAATTTATATTCGAATTACAACTCATCGAATGAATATTCAAAAATTCGTTGAAATTCCTAGTACAAATTATCAATATGCTTTTAAAGGGAAGACTATTTATACTATAACTCTGAACCCAATATGCCTGCGACCAGTCAAAGTGATTTCCAGTTGAATGGTTTGTGTCATTTATAACATAGATTAAACAAATATTTAAGGGTTTAGATGCAAAATACGTATTTCATAAATACAAAAAACAGACATATAAAAAGTATACCTAGGAGAAGAAGTCATGATTTTACAAATATAAAAAAAGGCCTCGAAGAATCTGAATCTGATGAAATTTTATAATATATGTAATTGTATAAGACCGGGAGATGATAAATGTAGTATCGATATGTAATTCACCTCCGTAAGTCCATGAGTGAAATAAGGATCCTGTTGGGTCATGACGATCTGTGTCATACAATCGGCTTTCTTCATCAAGCTTTTTGGACATGTCAATGACCA